CTTCTGAGCTCTTCTTCCCTCTCCTAGTTATTACATCTCAGAAAATGCTCGAAGGTACCGTTCCCTACATGTGTTATGTATATACGAAATTATCAAACCCTTCCTAGCACGTTGGATGTCCCCTCCTCTCCACTGGCACATCCATCTCCATCGCTCTCCTCCTGCATCCCGACTCCACGAACCAGGTTTGACTCAAGGTGTTGGCCCCACCACTATGAGCTGTGTGTTCTGCAATGGTTTTAATTCGCCTTCAGTGTGTTCCACTTGGGAGTCCTGGTCTCTCTTGGCTGCTGCTGGAGCGGGATGGCCGTGTCCCCTGGATTCCTGGGAGCTCGCCCACGGCCGGTGACACAATCCTCTGCTCTCGCTGCAGATTTCCAGTTACAGCAAAATAACATACAGAGCCCCAGGAAGCAAACATTGCCAACAGCCTCTGTGCGCCTTGGAAAATGACTCAGGCTCTCCTGCATGACACGAGGTATTTAAAGCACGCGGAGCTGATGGATTGAATCACATAGCTCTGTGCTCAGGAGGGCCGTGTGCTCGAATCATGCAAAATGTATGCGGTGTATACATGAGGATTTGTGAATGAATGAATCAAACCCGCTCCCCGGAGCCATGTGGCGCTGCACTACACGCTGTTATTAAGAGGTCAATAATTTTCATGAGAGGATCTTGCAAAATACATTTTCTAGGGAGGTCCTGCTGGAGATCAGCAAGTTTGGTAAGAGCAGGGTGTGCAGCACAGCGCTGCTGGAGCTGGAGAACCCTTGAAGGCTTGATGACAATGTTCAAGGCAGAGCAGAAAGCCGTGATGCCCAAGGGATGCAGGAGGAATACACACTTTGGCTCAAAAACTCCTACAAGGATCTCCTCTAATCTCTCCCTTTCAAGAACCACCACTGCATACTGGACTTTCTAAACCTATCCACAACTTTACAGCCTCCTTTCAGAAGTGTAAAGCCTTGCCCCTGTGCTCTGTTCCAAACGCCTGGGCTGTCCCTGTTCCCACCGAGCTCCCAGCTGCTCACCTCAGAGCTGCATGCGAGGCTGCTGGTGTGCCTGCTGCCTCTTCCACCCACGTAGGGTGCATCTGACCTTGGGAGGGACCTACAGAAAATGCCCAGTCCACTTAAATTCCCAAAACAGGACTTAAGTAATGCCTGGAATGAGTTTTCCTGTGGTGAACTGAGGACTGAAGCTGTGTTTCCAAAGCCAGCGCTATAAATGGGCATTACTGGTCAGATCTCAGTTAAAAGCATTTCAGTCCAGAGAAGGCAGTGCTCAGTCTCATGAAAAGGACACCTTCAAAATATCTATTGCCATAGAGGCAATACCGTCACAGAACACTGTAAGGGAGAAGAATTTGCCGTGCATTTCTCTATTTTTGGTGCTTTTGATCCTGGCATTGCAGCCAGCTGTGTCCCCAGCACAGTTCCCTTTTGCTACGAGCTTGTAGGGCTTCTTACTTTCCTGCACAGCACCGTCTCCATTACACATGCAACAGAGGAACCTTTGTGTGGTGGCATATATTTTTTTTTTTTAATCCTGAGACTAGACTCACTCAAACTTATTTCTTATGAAATTTTACAAATCACATGTAGAGAATAGCTGAAAATGTCAGTTTACTGATGAGTTGAGTGGGAGTTTGATGCATAGGGAGGACCAGGGAGGGTCTGCAAGATGCAAGCAGCGATGTGAGCTGTGAGAATGATTCAGCATGTACAGATGCTTAAGAATCAGGAAGCAAAAGTGCTGCACTGGGCTGTCATCTGAACCGTTTTGCATGACGGGCAATCAGGGAGTCAGTTATTGCCATTTCGGATGGACTAAAAGTGAACAGAAAAACGCTTGCACCATTGCTTTCAGATTTGTGTGTGATTTCAGATCCAGTCCCTGACCTGAGCAAACCCAAGCTGTGCCCTGAATGTATTCCTCTGGGAAAGCAATTCACCGGCCCATACGTCCTACCTACATCATGTCACTGATGGCGTCAGAGCTGTAATTTGTCTCAACAAAACACGTGTGAGCTGCCAGTTTCCCAGAAGGACTGATCTGTTCATGGGACAGCTGCTCTTCTGCTTTATCGCTCTGAGGGTTAAGCAAATCTAAGGGTAATTGCAGTGACTTTTTGGAGATCATTGTGTAAAACGCCCTTCTCATACTGAAAGGAAATGTGGCAACAAAAATGGTTTAACTCTGCAAAAAGCACAGATTGCTGGGTCTGGGACAGAGGTGCTCCTTGGAGTCATTAGCAAACTGCAGTGGAGTTGCGAAGAGGCTGCTCTGCTCTCCGGGAAGGCAGGAGCAGCCCATGGGGCTGAACGCTCCCAGTGTGCTCCTGCCAACATGTTACCTCGAGCAGAAATGAACCTGCAGACAGAAAAACCTCTGCGAAGCTCCAGGGTCCCTTGCAGGTCTCAGATTTCTTTCTTGCAGCAGAATAGTTCAAGTCTGAGGCTGCCTGCATATCACCACAGCAATACGTACATTTAGCTGTCAGGGATGAATTGAACAAAAGACTGACAAGCATAATTACAAGAATTAATGGACTTTGGCAATGTTTCTGCGACGTGGCGAGGGGGTAAAAGCAAGCCAGGGGCTGGGTGGGAGTGGAGTTTCCAGGGCTGGATCAAATGCAGCCTATAAAGTTGAGTTCACTTGCTTGGAGAAGCACTTTGCTGAGAGCTGACAAAACTATTTTTTGATTTTAGAGTTATGGGAGCGCCCAAACCCTCAAACACAGCCTGCACCTAGATATGGGGAATCAGCTGAAAACGTCTGCTGGAAAAAGGCAAGAAGAAACACACACACACAAAAAAAGTCCAATAAATTAAGGTGAATTCTGTGGTGATCTTGTGTAATGAGAGGAAACAAAAATCTCTGCTGAAAAAAGAAATCAAGGAGTTCATTACTTTTGGCAGGACTTCTGCACATTTTGCTTACCAAGGGATCATCACAGGGAGGGTATTATTTTATAGTCGCATAAAAGTTTCCTCCCTCCTTCAGCTCTCTTGATCCCAGGCTGCCTCCCTGCAGCCTCCTTATGGGCTGACATTTCGAGTTGTTTTTTTTTTCCTGGATGGGATATTTTTAAAGGACAGATTTACCCAGCTGACCCAGCGTGTTCTACACTGCTCTGGGTATTGCTGCCCCCTGCGAGTCAGTCAGAGCAAGGGCCAGATGCTGTGCTGGCTGCCCAGACCTGAGAAGGAAAGACATCGGCTCCTGATCCACCTTCCACGGCCATGACCAGATGGACACTTTGAGCTGAGATAAATCAGCTCCACAACTCTGCATCCCACTGCTGCCCGTCCCCTCCGGGTGCAACCCCTGAGCACTGAGGTTCAAAATGAGAGATGGATGTTACCTGGGATGAGCTGGTCCCCAAAAGAAAGTGCTGTGTGAGCTGGGGTCTGCACATTGCCTGTGCAGCTGGGGCTGGGGATGGAGGTGCTACTCTCTCCATTAGACCTGTTACCACTTTGTAATCTGGATATCTCAAGCTTTTCTGAGCACAGACCTCCAGGACACTGATTCCCAGAATACCCACTGCCAGCTGGGACTTCACCCCTCGACTAAAAGGTTGAGCCCAAAGGAGATTCTCTGGCCAAGCACAGCCTCCATGGTATGTTTTGTTCTGGGGGGAAGTGATTGCCAGAGCAGCGCAAGTGATACACAATCATATTCTGCGATTCCTCTCAATCCTCACTCTGGTTTTCAGGGTCTGGCCTGGAAGAAGTCCATCTCCCTTGGAAAAAAATCAACTCCCTGCTTCTGCTCCCTTGTGGCTGGGGCTTTTTAGTGTGGTTTTTTTCACTGCCTGCTTTCTCTGGGAAGTGGGAATGTGCTGTTGGTTGTGCAGAAAGGATGCTCTTGACAGGCTGGGTGATTTGCTTGCTGTGCTTTGCCCTCTGTTCCTGTGAATGGGCAAACAAAATGATATTTAAATAGAAATAATTGTGGATAAAGGAAATGGTGGTGCATCAGACAGGGCAGGTACCATGCCTGGCCCTTGTCCTTTGGTCTCCTTCTGGTTTTGCCCTGTTCTCTACACTGGCACTAGGAAAAGCCCACCCTGGCTCCTGGTCTAGTGTCGTGGCTGCAGGGATGCTCGTTGCAGCCCTCCTTATCCCACCCCTGGCTAGAAAGCCCTGTCATTGATGCTGAAGGAAAACTTGCCCATGCTTAACACGTCAGAGAAAACGCACTTAAAAACAGGCTTATCCACATGAAAACAAGCTCCTGGCAGTCCTGCCAAGGTCAGCACGAGCTGCTGAGCTGGTGCTCTGCTGTGAGCCACAGCTGGGTCTCAGGCACCTGACTCCTCCAGTCACGCAGGACACCTTGGGGAGAGCGAGCAGGCAAGCCCTCCCTTCCCGTGCTCTTCTCCCTGCCCTCTTCAGGGACATGACCCACCTGCCTGCTCACATGCCCGCTCCTCACTTACCCAGAAAGGAAAACCATGGGCTTTCTCCAGGTCAAAGAAGATCCACACATGTATGACACTTGGGTAGGGATTTAATCAATGCAGGTTTGTGCATGGGACCCTGTGGTGTTTGGGTTGCTCACCACCCTTTGGCCGGGACATCGTACATGAAGAGCAGGGTCTGGGTAGTCCATCCTCCTTACGTGAAATCCCAGTGAAGAACACGGTCCTGACCCAGGGTAGGTGCTGCAAAGAGAGCATCTCCTCTTCCTAGCACCAGTCTGAAGGTCTGCTCCAGCGCGGGGCTGGGGGGTCACTGGATGTGCTGCTCCACCAGCAGTGACTTGGCTGCTCCCGGCATCACGTGCATGACTCTTCCTTGTCTAGCCTCTCCTGGGGCACCGAGTGAAGATTTTCAGGATGCTCTTATTCATGAGTCCTTACGAATTCCCCACTGCCTGGTGTGGCACAGGAGGAGCAGTCGCTCTCCCAGCATGGGTGGGATGCTGAGGTCTCTGAGCCTTCTCCTTTGGTCTGCAGCATCTGTGTCACTTCTCACCCTGCCCTGCTGTTAGCTCTCCTCGGAGGTATCCTTGTGGGAAGCGGAGCAGTTCTCTGGTTCCTTTGTGATCCCTGCTGAGCACTCCTCAACTTTGACTTTCTTTCTTCCTCTCATTGACTTCTTAGCTCCTGTAAATAAGAAAATGACCGCAGGACTTAACCACAGAGCAGTGGATTTACATGTACGAGGACAACATGGCCTCATGCCAAAATAGGGACAGTGCGGGAGGAAGCAAAACTCAGTAAAGCAAAGATGAAGAGAAATCCTCTCAGATGTGAGATGCACAGGTGCTTGGGGGAGACTGTTGTGACCCTGGAAACAGAGACCCTGGAAGCAGAAATAGGCAGAGAGCTGACCTCAGAGTGTACCCAGAGCAGCAGGATACATTTCTTGGATTTCTCCCCCTTTCAGTGTGGTACACAGCACATACCACACACTGAGAGAGGGGTTCTGACTTTTCATCACCCCAGTCCTGCCACAATTGCATCCTGCCCTTGCTCAGGACACCCCAATCCAGTCCCAGAGGGTGGGATGGTGTCTGCTGTGCAGAGCATAGGGCAGCTTCCTCGGCATTGCTCCGAGTGGCTGGTTTTGTAGAGCAAATCCTCTTCTCCCTTAGCTCTGGTGGTGTTGCCTGAATGAGCAGGCACAACCGAAGGCCAGGCAGAGGGCAAGGAGCAGTGCTTGCCTGTTAAACAAGCTCCCTTCATCCTTAAGCAACCCCTACAATTATTATTGGGTCAACATCTCCCTGTCTTTAGCCGGGGTACAAAGGGGCTTAGCAGTGGGGTATTTCTGACAGAGCACTTTTTAAGGATTGACAAGCACACTGTCTTAACCTTGCCCTTATCAGGAGCAGTTTTCTGCATATTCATCTGTAGGAAACCTGGGTTTGACACATTCCTCTGTCAGCAGGGAAACCTCCACAGCCACACCGGAAGATCAACAGAGTTGGCAGAAACCTTTCTCTGAATGTCAATAATTCACCCCTGGGAATTTGGCCTTCTCCAGTCGCCACCTCTCTGACCTATTAAGCAAACATGAGGGACTTAGCCCTGTTAGCTTAGGTGCTCCGGAGTGCCCTCCTGGCCACCCTGCCCGGGCTCCCCTGGCTAACCATTAGCAGGGGCTCCTCGGGCTGGAGATGCAGCCGTTGCCAAAACACAGCGCCGCGTGGTTTGTCGGAGGGAAATGAATGACTCTGCTGTGTCACCTCGGGCAAACATTTGTTTGCAGCATGGTGTGCACTTGGTGGAGATGCACCCTCCTCTCCGGTGCCCTCGGGCTTTTCTCACAGGAGCCCCTGGGGAAGTGGTTGCCCTGAGCAGATGCCACGAGGAACTCCTCCTCCCTACCTTTTGTCCAGGGATCCTGTCCTCTTTTTCTCTTCTTCTGCAGTGTATGAGCTTTGTCTTTGTTGCAGAAGTATTTTCCATCAGCCTGGGCTTCTTGTAGGATATCATCTTCATATGGGGCAGCCGCCTACACCAATGAGAAGAGCAGTCCATCTGTAAACTACCTTGCTTTCCTGGGGAGCTGATGGCTCAGCAGCATTTCTGAGGACTTTTGTGATCACTGCTACAGAGTGGTGAGAAATACTGTTGTCCATAAACCCTCTCGACTAGCTGGAAAAAGGTGATATCTCTATCCCTCAGTAACAAGTTGAGTAATAGTGTGGGAATGGGGTTTGGCACCTCATGTAGGAAAAGCCATCACCTTCTGGAGCGAGCTTGGGCAGGGACAACCTGTCTCACCCCCTCTTGGACCTGACAGCCTAAGATTATTGGCTGAGAAGAGCAAACAAACCTCGCTGTCTGTCGTGTCTGGCTCGTCAGATTCCTGCTTCCCAGACTCAGCATCATCGTCATCTAAGGAAACACAAAAGGAAGGTTTTTTTGGCTGGCTGGGGTCCTGACAAGGTCAGGAGCAGATGCAGGGCAACCAGCCCAGGCTCTGGGAGCCATTGAGGCAGAAAACACATTCAGCAATAAACTACATTGCAAAGCAGAGGCACTGCAAGTGACACAGCTTGAAATAAATGCTTATGGGAGATCCAGCAGGACTCTCTTGGGGAGCCAGCTCCCAATAAAGCTGTAACCATCGGAATTTGCTACATCAAGGCCACAAGTGCTGCCCCAAAGTCCATGGCCAAGTGCAGGTTGGGAAGCTGAGGGGTATTTAAAACCCCAGACTGCACCTTCCCATTTGAGACCCAGGTGGAGAGAAGCGTGTCTGAGTAAAGAGGCCAAAATGGAAAATCCTGAAGTTTGTTGCCAGTGCCGGTCGGTGCTTCTCAGCAGGGAACAAGTGCCGAGGAACACAGGAAGGAAAAGCGGCCAAGCTGCTCCTCTGCCCAGCGAAAGGGTTTTGCTGCACACAGGCTACGCAACCCCAGACATGCACCAGCCACACACCCGACCCTTGTGGGGAGTGAAGCTGCCCAGGGATCGAGCTTCACTGGCTATGGCATCACCCTGTCTGCACACCCAGTGGCATCCCCGTGCTGGCTGTGGAGGGGCAGAAGGGGCTCGGGATGGAGCTGTGCCCTCTTTGCAGCGGCAGGGACATTCCAGGACCTCAGTACTTCTTGCTCCTGACACCCAGGTCTAGCTGGGGGGGGACTGTTGCCAGGGTAGGCTCCCTTGCTACCCCTGCTCAGGTGAGAGAGCAACCAGTGATGCTTTTAGACCCCCGTAGTCTGATCCCATCCTCCTTTTATCCTTCCATGGGTTAAGGTTCACTAAAAAGTGCAGAAATATTTGTGTATTGTTTCCTGGGCTTTGTGTCAACCTTAAGGTGAGAACTGAAGAAAGTCCTGTATTCCCACACCCAGAATGTAATCAGCTGAAATTCTTCTGCCATGATGGTATCTCCTTAGCATGTAAATCACAGAGGACTCCCTCCCCACCTCCTTTTTTTTTTTTTTTTTCCTCCACCCTGCAAAATCCTGCTCTGGAGAGTGTTCCCAAACCGCTCCGACACGCCCAGACCAACTAATCCAGGTGAGCTCAACTTTCTGGCCAAGCGAGTAAAGCTGGTAGGGAGCAGCTCTCAGCAGACGTGCTTCCCGCTCCGCTCCCCATGGCTGCTGCCTCCCACCCACCTGCCTGGGCGAACCTGTCACCCACATTCCATGGTGGTCAGGCAGAGAGAAAGCACCGTGTGTCCCCAGACTGAGGACACTGCTTGTTTTGGCAACAGAAAGGGTTTTTACAGGGGATGGAGCAGGGAAAAGGAGAATAGCATCCTGCCCTACCTGCTGCAGGTACCAGCATCCTTTGCTCTGTGCTCAGCCCTACAGGCTATGCCAGCATGGGGCACATTTTGGAGCAAGGGGACAGAGGCAGGAATGGTTTTTCCAGTGCTAGTCCTGAAAACCTCTTGCATTTTCCCCATCTCTACTGGGGTGACTTGTGAGCTTCTGCTTCCCCGAGAAGGGTGGGTAATGCTGGAGCAGAAGCATTGTCTTGTCACCGCTCACTGCGGAGGGGGGGTTGCCAAGGGGTCAGGGCTGAACTGATCTCTTTAGTTCCTGGAGAACTTCGTGCCACCCAGCAGCTGAGGTGAGGGTGCCCTGCAGGGGGTGCAAGGGCACCCCACAGGTGGCTCCTGGTCTGTGCTGGGCAGAGATGCTGAGCTTTTCTCCAGAACAGCGGAGGTTATTTTCTCCCTGTAGATATTGAGCCTGAGTTTTGGGTATCCCCATGGTTGAAAATTGAGCCCTCAAGGACAGAACGTGAAAACCTGAAGCTCCCTTGATGGCCCAAAATAGCTGAGAGGCAGGACATCCCGGGTCCCTGAAAGGGTGTCCCAGGCTCATCAGCTACCGCACTGACCGGCGGCGATTGCCGGTGCTTGCAGAGCCTAGCACAGGGAGCTCCTGGCTGTGTGATACCTCAAACAAAATGCACCTTTTGCTCTTGGCTTCTCAAATGTCATGTTTGCCCAGGGCTTTTTACCTCCTTCTTCCTTCTGTGTGCTGACAGTCAGTCTCACTCCGGTCTCTGGAAGGGCGTCTGGGTCGCTCGACGTGGAGTTGTTTGTCAGATGCGCCCGTGAGAGCGTGAGCTGTAGGACACAGGGACCACAAATGCTGCCTTTGTCAGACAGGAGGAAAGGGCTGCCCCCAGCCTCTATGCGATGACTGTGACACCCGTGGGGATGAGCTTCGCTCATGTTGTGTTGCAGGGGAGGCCAGTACCCCTCCTGCACCAACCTGTGGGACAGGGCACAGGCGCTGCCTGTCCTTGGACTTGGATGAAAACCCCGGGAATGCTGGAGGGGAGGAGAGCTGGAGAGTGAGGGACAGGGCTGAGCAGTTGTGACTTTGCTATGTGCAAATAGGTCCCTGTTGGCTTCACACACAGCAAAGCCACCCTCCCACAGGACATTAATGATGGCCATGGCGGTGCCAGCACCAGTGTTGGACACCCTGGGGAGGGGAAAGGGCCGCAATTGATGGCAACAAGAGCTGTACTCACCACAGCTGCATCCTCCTCCTCCTCTTCCTTCACAGCACCGGGCAGTGCCTGGGCAGTACTGGGCCAGCGGTAGGAGAAGGGCAAGTCCTCTCGCTCTGCCCTGTGTCTCCCACAGAGCTCACGGGCTGCCAGCACAGCGGGGCTCTCCCCAGGGCTCAGCCGTGGGCTGCCAGACCCCCGCAGCTCCCGGTGGCTGTGCCAGCCTGTTTCCCTGCCACGGCCAGAGTCTGACAGGTCCAGTGGTGCATCTGCACTGTCATCCCTTGCTGCCTTCACCTTTTCTTGGAGCTCAGAGCTGTCCCGGCTCAGCCAAAGCTCCTTGCTTTCCTCCTCATCTGCAGCATCCTCCAGGAAGGACCTTTCCTCTTTGCATCCCTGTGTGACGCTTGGCCACGGGGAGAGAGGCCGCTCCTCGGGCTTGGGCTGTCCATCTGCCCGCTGGCCCGGCTGGCACTGCTGCATGAGGAAATGCTGCAGCCGCTCCCTGTGCTTGAGGAGGTGCAGCTTCTCCTCCAAGTGCTGATCCCTCACATACACCATGGTGGCAGGGAGCTTCAGCAAGGCCGCGCGATCTTCCCAGCCGTCACGCGACCGTGTCCTGCTGTCGGCGTCCTTGGCCCTGAGCAACTGGCTGGAGAAGCTGCCGCCGTCCTGGTCGGCTGAGGCACAGTTGCTCGCCAGCCCCAGCTGGTGCAGGGAAAGGTGCTTGTGGAGAAGGCAGAGTTGCTCTCTCCGGGCAGTCTGTTTTAGGTTTTCATAGGACGGAGCGACCTTGGGGGAGCCTGGTTTGCTTGCTGTTAAATAACTAAAAGAAGGAAGGGGAAAAAAAAAAAAAGCAGCACGTTAATTAAAGAATTTTCACGTGATTTCTCAGCTTCTGCAGGTGATGTGCGTAGTCTTTCCTTCTCTTTCTGTGCCCTGTTGCAGCTCTTCACCTGGGCATCCTGCTTGTGTTTGTGTGTTGTGCTGGGGAGGAGGGTTCTGACGGCCGCAGGGGTCAGGCAGCCAGCAGTGGGTCTCTGCACACCACATGAAGCCATCACCATCCCACCATCCCACAGCTCTCTCCTGTCCCAGGGACAAACAGCTCCAGGCAAGAGGGTCAGGTGAGCCCTCACGTCAACACTGCTGCTGAGAAGTCACTTGACAAACCACACCTTACAGCCAGAAGCATCCTAACTACCCACCCTGCTGCCCCCACATTGGGGGGCATTCTTAATGCCTTGGTGGACCTCCAGGACAAAGGAACAACCTACCCTCCCCTAATGTCACTCAGTGGGGTGTTTTTACAGGTGTGCTAAGAAGGTTAATATGGTGCATGAACCTGCCCTGCGAACTGAGTCTCTGCTATCACTGGTTATTTGGCACCTTTCGTGTGTCAGCTTTTCCTGGGAATGCTCAGCACATCCACTCCCACTCTGGGAAACTCGCTGCCTCTACAGCTGACCTCACTGGCTTTGCTCAGCCCTCTGTCCATCTGAAAGCCACGGGGAGGGTAAACCTGAGGAAGTGCTGAGCACTGCAGAAACCCCATTAGGAAAGATAAGGAGGAGCAAGGTTTGCTGCTGCCGCAAGGCGAGTCCTTCTCTTCCCAGCTGGAGGTGGGGGCACCACGTTTGCACCATGGGTCTGTTTGATGAAGCTGGAGTAGAGGGGCTGACCTCGTCAGGCTGGATTCCAGTCATTTTTTGCTGGTGTAAACTGGGAGATCCCCCTCCTCGTCCCTCTCCTGAAGGCCGTGGGACAGGTTTGGAGAAGAAGGCTCACGCCACGAACCATAAGCAGGCAACTCACGCCTCAAGGCTGGGGCTGTGCTCGCGCTCCAGAGGGAGAGGAGTCTTCCTTGCTGGTGGGGACACTGCTGCCCCCGAAGGACTTCTTTCCAGAAGGCAAGGTCTGGAGCCGGGTCTCACCAGGGCAATGGTGCCATGCAGCTGGTTGGCAATCCTTTGGGACACCTGCAGCAGAGGGGAGAAGGTCCAAGAGAGCCATTCTACTGAGCACCCTGGGCAGCACCTGGCTAAGGGGAACCCCAGTGAGCAGAGACACAGCTCTTCACCAGCATGGACAAGACAGACGGCTCCTAACTGCTCTGATGCAATTCTGGTCAACAGCTCAAGCATATCATTATTGGTTTTCCCAGGAAATTTCCCTTTTGCATTTTCTGTGGCATCTACAGTACTCATTATTTTCCGGCTGTTCTGATCTGTAGCCCAGGAGGTCTTGCACTTTGTCTCAAGTCAAGCCATGATTCAGTGGCTTAACCAAGATAAGACCCTGCAAATTCCCCAACCTCTAGTCAGGCCACTAGACTTTATTCATCCAAGCTCCTGGCATGTGTTGATTTGATGGGTGTATTTCCAGCTCAGTACCTGGCTGTGAGGCATCATCGTCTCCATCTGCTGTCATGAAAGGCTCACCGCATGTTCTGACTTGACTTTCCCCTGCCCACCTGGAGATGTCACCAACCCTTCCTGCGATCCCTATTAATTATCCTCACAGTCTGCCTGCAGCCTTACCAAAACCCCTTTTCACCTGCTCTTTCAAGTTTTCTGTAGAGTTCAGGGAAGCAAAGCCTGTGCCAAAACAGAAGCCTCTATGTGGGTGTGTATGTGGGCTTGAGTTCCCACGACCAGGAACAAGGCTCCAGGTCCTGCAGTCTCAGCTCCCAGTGCCCAATATCACCACATCACCACTCAGCATCCCTTGGCTGATGATACTCTCTTGTGTTTTAAAGCCATGGCAGGCTTGCATCAATGCACAAAATGGCAACCACTAAATGCCAGTCCCTCTAAAAATACCAGTATTCATTAGGCTGCAGATAGAGAGAGACATCTGCTGTGCTCTCGGGCTGGGCTGCTGTGGTGTATTTGTTCTCAGTACCCACAAATCCCACAGTTTACATCTTCTCCAGGCTTTTCCAGCTCTCACAATGCTCCAGCTTCTCGCTTGCTCAGCTAATGGAGAGCTGACTCTGTAACTCAGGATAAGCTACATGGAAATGTGGCTCAGCACAATCTCCCCAGGTGCTTCCCTCTTCAGATCTTTCCCCAGCAGGAAATCAGAGAGAGGAACCAGAGCTGTGGGCAGAGGACTCAAGGATGCTAGACATGTTATCACGGAAGATAAACACAGGAGCAAAGATGTCCGTGCTTGCAGTGGGGACAGGATCCTGTGACAAACTTCAAGTGCTTTGCTTGCAAGAAGTGGCAATTTCTGTGTCTAGCTAATTGTTTCACATCCCAAGTGCCTCCTACTAACATTTCTCTTGACCCATTTCAGATGACCACAGTGGTGGGGAGACAGCCTGAGGACATCAGGCTACTTTCAGCAACTCACCATTTCTGCGAGACTGACTTCTTGGAGGACAGTGCCTGGGGAAGCCCTACTGCTTGGAGAACTTCTCTGTACTGCAGTCTTTTCTGCAAAAGAGACACAACCAGCCACCTTGATGGTCACCCTTCCCATCCCCAGGTCAAGGGCAGCAGACAGTGGTGGGGAGACAGCCTGAGGACATCAGGCTACTTTCAGCAACTCACCATTTCTGCGAGACTGACTTCTTGGAGGACAGTGCCTGGGGAAGCCCTACTGCTTGGAGAACTTCTCTGTACTGCAGTCTTTTCTGCAAAAGAGACACAACCAGCCACCTTGATGGTCACCCTTCCCATCCCCAGGTCAAGGGCAGCAGAAGCCAGCAGGACCCACCGTCTCCCAACTCGAGGTCCAGCACGTCATGGTGGGCTTCTTCTGCTCCCCTGTGAGCTGCTTTCTCAGCGTCAGCGTTCCTGCTCGCTGGGGACAGTAAAGGCAAAGGAGAGCTGGGAGTAGAGCTGCTCTCTCTGGAGGTGACTCCTGCATGCTTTGCCCTGTCCCTTCCAAAAGGAGAAAGGCATGAATGAATGAGAAGGGACAGGAGAAGGAAGGTTTGAGAGCCACTGCACTGGGAGTTCCAAGTTTTACAGCCCAATATAAAAATATAAATATATATATCTGTATGTGGATATACTGGGTCCTCAGACTCACCTCTTTCCATTGCAGCTTATCGCTAGCTCAGCTGCAGTCTGGAGCATGGTATGGAGTCAGCATGACAGCTCAAGGTCTGATTTCCCCACTTGGCTGTGGGTAACGTAGCAGGAAGCCACGACGTTGGGTAAGCCAAAACCCAACTGCAGCTGTTGCAAAAGCTCTGTGAGAACCTGTATGTCCCTGGCTGGCCTTTGAGTCTGATGTAGGAGTGGATTCAGCACAAGGATGTGGTGGTTGTCCCCACTCACTGTATTGACCTGGTGGGGCTGATGCTCTTGGTCACTACGAGGGAATAACTGAGTCTCGGAGACCCACACTTACGTCTTGAGTAGACCCTGATGCTGAGACATGGGTGTTTGGCTGGAAATCTTCCCATCCAGCCCAGAGAAGAGCAGAGCAAAGCAGGACACCTTGGTGCTCAGCAAACTAAGCCCAATCTACAGCTCTGAAAATCGTCAACCTTTGGGAAGCATTAGGGATTAAAAGAGAGAGTTTCTCTTTAAGCGGATGGTGCTTCTGTGCTCCAAAGAAAACACATTTCTAAACTAATCCCTTGGTACTAATTCCTCTGGACTTTAAACCCTTGAGGAATGAGCTGATTTGTATATATTGGCCAGCCTGGCAGGTTACTTGGCTTTCAGCACAGCACTCTGCTGCAACATGAACCTGCCGCAGACCCTCTCTGCTGTGGAGAGGACCTAGTGCCGTGGAAAAGACAGAGAAGACGAGGTTGTGGCCCATGGCCAAGGCGAGCCACCAGGGCTTTGCTTCTCATGAGCAGTGCCCCATGGTGGGGTGTTGAATACTCTTGTTCCCCCAGAATTGAATCTTTGGATGCAGGTGAACAGGAGAACGAAAAGACAACAAGGACTTACAGACCGTTATGGGTGTTTCACTGTCTAACATCTACAGGAATCTGTGGGAATTAGATGCTAAAAGAGCCCTGAAGATGCTGAGGTATAGATGTAGCCCTGTTGAGCTGCAGGGATGCCTCTGTCCTTACCAACACCCCTCATACTGAATAAAACCCAGCTGAGCACTTACTCCAGGCCCCGGAGCCTCTTCAGTTCTTCCTTGAGAGTTTTGTTCTCTTCCCTCAGGCGGTTTGTCTCGTTAGCTGCAGGGACACAAGTTGTGCCATGGATTCAGGTGCTGCAAGGAGAGAGCTGACGCTCCTTGCCACTTGCTGGGGTGCACAGGGAAGGAGGAGGGAACAGCACCACATTTGGGTGGGATGTCAAATTTCCTCCCTTCTCTGAAAACACGCTGGAGGCAAAGGGATCAAAGGGAGCAACTTTCTGACTTGGGTTTGGTCACGATTTGGTCCAGCTCAGTGGGAGAGTATGACCCAGCTGGGCTGGTGGCTGGTGGCACAGCGGGATGGACAGAGCCAGCATCCTGCCTGTGAGTACCACGGCCATTTGTGATGAGCAGGTGCTGTGTAAGGGGCAGGATTGGGGCATCAGGGAGATCAGACAAAGATTGTCAGCCTCAAGCGAGCGAGAGCAGGAGGGCTTCTGGGCAGGGTGGGCTGCCTCCTCAGCTTGCTCATGCTCGAAAGCAGCCCTCGAGAAGCAGTGGCATAACAAACCAAGGGCTGCTGGCACCTCTCTGTCCCTCCTAATGCCTATCTCCTTTACCCCCATGACCTTCCTTGGGACAGCCAGATCCCCAGGAAAAAACACCTGAGCCTGAGCAGGGCTGGGAGCTCTGCTAAAGGCTTGAGAGAAGATCCACCACACGTGTTGCTTGATTTCCATTTACCCGTGCTGAGCTGCTGGTGTGACTTTTCTGTCTTTGCCAGAGCGTTGCTTCTGCGGTGCCAAATGCACCTTTTCTCCAGGCAGCTGACATTACCTGGCCAGCTCGGGGCTGAGCATCTCTCATTTTTCTGGAGGGGCAGAGGGCTGCAAGCCCCCAGCTCATCGCTTCGTGTGAGCGGTTACTTCTGCTTGGGGGGGATGTGGGCTGCCATCTGCAATCCTGGTCAGAGCTGATTTTTCAAGGCTTCCCACACTCTTATTGCCTCCTTCCCTTCTCCCCATCCCCAAACCCCTCCTGGGTGCCCGGTCACTGGGACGGCTCACGTGTAAATATCTATGAGAGGCATTAACCGAACAAAGACCCAGCCCGCTAAAGCTGAGCTCACAGCAGACAGTGCTACATACTGAGGATGAAGATGTGCTGCAGGCTTTGGAAGTGGGAGGTCTCGTACTCATTCTGCTTCTTTTTTGCCAGCTCCTGGGTGACCATGCATCTGTCGCAGAGACCCGCTCGCAGCCTAGAGAAAAACCCACGGCCGGCAGCTTGTTACCATGCGGTTCCCAAGGGGAAAATAAGCTTCTGCTTTCCCCACAGAGAAGTGGGAACATCAGCCCGTCACCCAGAACTGGTGAGAAGGCTTGTCACCTGTGCAGCCCAGCCTTGGCCCTTCCAACCCCCAGACCCAGTCCCACCACCTCCAGCTTAGGAAAGCTCCTCTGCATGTTCTCAGGCTCCTCGAGCCCTCCCAGCAGCCAAGAATGAGCAAAAAAGAGGTTTAAGTGCTACATCTTGCTTCTGGGAAGACAGCAAACCTCAAACTCTGCTCTTACAGGGCTGCACTTGCTGCCACCCAACAGCACCCTGCTGAAAAAATAAATCTTACCTGTTTTCTAACACCTTTACATTTTCTTTAAGGGCCTTCTGTTGTTCCCTTAACTGGTGATTTTTAGCAAACAACTCTTCGATTCTCTGAGCATCCCTAATTGAATAAAGAGAAGAAAGAAAGGAGGTTTGTTAGATTTCTCCCCTAAATCTTGCCTTTATCCGCAGTGCCCTGTCAAGGGGAAGGATTTCTGCACTGAGCCCACTGTACTGCTCAAACTGAGATGGCTGAATTGCTTTTGCTTGTGTGGCAGGAGGTGAAACAAACATGTCAGAGCCCAGATGCTGCCCTGTGACACCCGCCCTTGGAGTTAGCAGCTTGTTTTGTCCCAGTTTCTTGCTTCCTAAGAGAGCAAGAGCCCATTGGCACGAGCATCACTTGCCGCTGGGAAGGCAGAGCAGAGGTGGGCTGGCACCATCCCTCATGCTGGGGACTTGAGTGGCAAAAGTCACCCAAAGGGTTGAATTTGATGGAGCCAGAAAAGCAAACGGTGTTCTCTAAATCAGGCAGCTTTGGAGGAAGAGTGCCTGAAAGGTCTGAAAATGAAGTGGTGGAACCTGTCCCCCGTCCTGCCGGGGCAGGCGCAGTGTTGCTCACCGGCACTTCTCCGTCGTCAGCTCCGTCAGCTTGCTTTGCAGACCTGGGGTAATTAACAGAGACGGAGAGGTGGGTGTTTATTGCCAGTTCCTCGGCACTTCGGAAACAAAATGCAACGACGGCACTTCAGGAGTGTGCCTGGCTTTGCAGAAACCTTGTCAATTTACAAACCTTATTTCCAGGAAGGAATAACATATTGCCTGTGTTAAACAGTATCACAGTTTAATACAGCTGGAAAAGTTGTACAAAATGTGAGCACATTTTGTATTTCCACTATTTAATGACTCTGCATTTCCTTCCCACTCCAAAAAAAAAAATGTCTGTTTCCATTTTGTTTCTACTTATTTCTTGTTACAGCACACATTTCCCAGGTGGGCAGTATTTTATAACTCACAGGGCTGCAAAGCATCCTGGAGGATATTTACAGCTGAACAAGAATGGCTTTTGTTGATGGATCTGCAGACGTTACATCTTGTCAAACCCATTTTATGCAAAGTAGATACAAACATGTGGTTTAAATTGCTCAACGGTTTCCTCTAACTCTCACACGGTTTGAAATTACACAAGAGAAGAATGAATTCATAAGCCAGAATCCTCCAAAAGCACTGTCGTTTCGTTCGTAATATTGATACTGGGAATTACTCTAATAGGAAGACAATTGGATTTGGCATTTGGTTGCTTAACCTAGTGGTTCTTATTTAAATAATGCACAATCCGAGGAATAATTTATTCCCTAGAGGAATAAGCTACCCAACCTGACTAAGATCTTCTTTAACAGAGCCTCACACTCCTGCTGCTTCTGTCTTACAGATTATTGCATCTCTCCAGCTTGCTTTTGATCCCTCAGCATCCAAGTGAACTCCAACTCACGTTTCTTGGAGAAGATGCCCAGCAGGTGCGCATGCCACTTCTGCAAACCTCCCAGTTCACCTTTACCACCAACCACACTGGCAGAGGCAAGAAAGGACCCACATTCCCTTTGATTAACGCTTGAACTAAGTGAGATTCCTGCAAGGACTGAGCACCTCTGTGGCTTAGTTTCCCGGTACATCAGATGCAGGAACACCTTCTCTCTTCTGATCCTCCTTATCATGCAGAAAGTCACTTATTTTCTGAGTAAATTTCATTCTCCCCCAGTGGATGTGCTGCCCAGAGGGTGAAGCCGTAATCCTGCATCCCCATCCACTCCCATGGGTGATACTTGCTGAGCCTTAATTCCCAAAGCTTCCACACCCACTCCCCCTCCCTTCAGGTTGTTTGTTATCATAGAATCCTAGAATGGCCTAAGCTGGAAGGGACCTTAGAGATCATTTTAATCCAGCCTCCCTGCCGCCAGGGATGCCACCTCTCGACTAGATCAGGCAACACATGGGGACCAAAATATCAAACAGATCAAGGTGACATTACAAAGAAATGGACCCTGGATGGTTTTTAATAAGACTTCTTGTGTCTCCCTTACCTTGGACCTCTTTCTCATGGATCTCTTTGAGCTTATTCAGGAACTCTGCAAAAGTCTCCGTGGTCATGTTCAGGACTGTGCCTCACGTTGGGCTGGTTCCAGCGCTAGGATGTCCTTTCGTTTCAGATTATTTGGGTTTCAATCTAAAATAGAAACAAAAAGTCCAATAAAATAGAAGCATCTTGTGTATGTGATGTTTTGTAAAAAGTCATAGAAACAGGTCAAACTTTCTAGATTTTCTAAATCTAAAATCTGAAAAAATAAGAAATAACCCAACTCTAGAAAATTTAATCATTTGCTAAACAACACACACACATCAAGCAGCAGGCTGACCCAAAGACACATTTTCAGACCTGTCCACCCTGCTTCAGCCCCAGGCTGGGGCCATAGGCAAAGTAGAAGAGCACTGAAAGGTCAGCTGAGAAATCAGGCTTTTCCTCTGTTTTTTGAGCTGTTCAAATCACATTTCTCTGGGATGAGGCAGGGCAGGGCATCTTCCTGAGGAAGGGACTGCAGGGCTTGTGTCGTGACTGCATTGCTGGGGGCTGATGATGGGAAAACTCGCAGCAGCTTTCGTACTTAAACCTGACAGACCCATCTCCCACAGGGTCCAGAGATGCTCCCATGCATCCATCCTCCCTCTGGCCCCATGCACAGTGCCTGTGGAGGAAACATGTACCTCTTGGCCACGCCGCTGTCATTGCCCAGGCTCCCTGCCTCTTTGAACCCTTGGGAGATACCAAACTGAGCGTTATTCACCCCAATTTACAGAGAAACCTGGAGAAGTGTGTCTGAGCATCCTCACAGAGCATCATGCTGGGTCCCCAGGGGTTTGGGCAGGAGGGATGTGCAATCTCCCCTCCCTCCCGCTCCGAGCAGGTCAGCAAAACCCTGCCCAACCTCAAAGTGTCTTGTGGGACCACCAGAATCATGCCGGGAGAAAAGGGACTTCCATGTGGGGCATTCGGCATCGCTGCCAGCCCAGCTCCCTGCCGGCAGCCTGCCTGTGCCTTTATCTGCATGCAGAGCAGAGGTGTGCCGGATCGCCTGCATATGCAAGATGTGGGCAAGCAGAGCTGGAAGAAACTTTCCCCTAAAGCGTCTGATTTTCAAAAGAAATGAGGCACGCGCCGGCAAGCACAAGCAGCGAGCTTGGCTCCCGTGCTCTTAGCAGCAAAACAGCTGCCTAAACACAAACCTTCTCGGAGTCACTTGGTACGAACCTCACAGAGATCTCGCTCTCTGGAGAAACAATTTAAAAAAAAAATTCATTGCTCCTGCTTCCCGGGGCAGAACCCACCCTTTTCCCAGGCTGGGTGATCGCTCCCAGTAAGAAGCACGGCACAGCTTGTTGTGGCTCGTGCAGCTCGAGATCTGTCACTCAGGCCCAAGAGCTCTGGCTGGATAATGAGCCAGGGGAAAAAAATACCCAGCTCCGCTCCAAAAATAAAAAAGAAACCCCAAACTCCTGATCTTAATGGGAAGCCCTTCCCAGAATCGCTGAGTCTGAAATTCAGATCTATCCTGGGCAAAACACCTCCCTGGGGCTGAAGGGAGGTTGTGAGACCCATCACTGCCATCACAGCGCTGAAACCCTGGGTGCTGGCTGGGAAGGCTTTGAAGTGCTCAGGCACTAATTCCCATTGCATTTTCCAGTGCTGTAAACTGGGAAGGGATTGCAACTGGGTGCAGAGCCAGAGGTGACCTATGACGCTCGCTGGTGCCAAATCAGCCCCTTCCCACCTCGACGCCACCCTCTCCCCAAGGCTGGTGTCTCGGAGGGCTGACAGCACCCAGCATTTCAGGTCATGGAGCCCCGGCTGGGATGTCCCGGGAAGGTGACATCCAGGCTGGGACTCGTGCCAGCCCTGTGGTTCGGGGAAGCAGGGTTGGGCTTGGATGTGGCTGGAGGCGGAGGGCGCGGGGGCAGCCCAGGTGCTCAGCGCCGGATCTGGATGGCCGCCGCTGTGACTCAGCGCTGCGGGCAGAGCCCGGCAGATCAGGATTTGGGGCTGGGGCGTGGGCAGCAGCTTTGCCTTCCGTGCACGGCTGGAGTGCCAGGGCTGGGGCTCATTCCTGATTTTCTTTTCCTCGGAGCCTCCAGTTCACCAGGGATCTGTGACCTGCTGTGGATTGCATCAGCAGGGAAAAGCTATTGCCATTTTTGGTGCTTTTAGAGATGCCAGCATCTGTCCTTGCCTGCAGACAGGACTACCACTCTGCGGCAAACACAGTGAGGACTTCGCATCTCTGTTCCATGCACATGCATGGTTATGGAGATGTTGCACGAGCATCACCCTCCATGTATCTGTACCCAGGATTTGTCCTTTTGCTGCAGCAGAGCCACCTCCCAGACATCCCAGGCTCTCTGAGGGCTTCAGCTTTGCTCCCTTCTTGGCCTGTCTGGACTGGCCAAGGCGTGAACCCGCATCCCTCTGCTCAAAAGGATTTATTAAGGGAGATCTACTGATGAAGACCAGACCAGAGAGTCCCTCAACGTGGAGCTCGTTCCCTGAGACAGGGATTTCATTTACAGCCCTGAGCCCTTTCCAGAGCTGTCACCATAATATACAGCCGGCAGAGCTGGATGTGACCCCACAGCGGGGCTAGGAGCTGCCCTTTGGTGTGCTGGTGGGGCTGGGAGTATTTCAAAGTGACAGGTACCCTCTGCAAACAGAGCCCCAGCGTCGGGGACCAAAGGCAAACTCCTCATCCAAGCCCTAAATCTAGTGGGCTGGGAAAGCCCAAGCCCCTGGCACAGGGCAGTTGCTGATGGCTGTGGTTTTGCTCACCTGCTCTCTGCCTTCCTTGATGCTCAGCTCAGGGCAGGACATAGAGTCAGGGGACAGGGTCCCTGGCACATCAGGTCTCACACATGGGGCTCAGGCAGCCTCCAGCATCTCCTGGGTATCAATGGCATCTCTCCTTAGCGTGGGATGATTCTGGCTGCAGCTGGGGAAAGGAAAAGAGGCAGGGAGGTAATTTCCTAGCCTGTACCAGGGGCTGGGACTTGGACAACTGGCTCTGACAGCACAGCTGTCCCCCATTCCCTGGTCCCTGGTGGCTTCCTGGTCTCTCATTCCCATCCCCAGTGCTGCTGGCCACACTTGCATCGAGACATGGCAAATCCTCACCCTCAGCACTGCTTCCCTTCAGAAGAATAAAGCAGCTCATTAGCTAAATAAACTTAAGACTTAAAAAAAAAAAAATAAAGGCAGGACTCTCAAGTTCTGACACTGCTGGATCAACGAAGCTTAATGGATTTACAACCAGATATTTCCCCATCAGTGGTACTCGAGTTGTTCAGCTTCAGGCTGGATTTATGTAATACACCTTTGGTTGGGCGATTGCCGGGCAGGGCTGCTTTCACCAGCCAAGCTTTCTTTTCTTGGCTACCCTACTATGCTTCTGGTCTAATTTTAGAATTATAAATTGAATTTATACCCAGAAAAGCTGCCTGATCACTCATGGAAAGTCAGCAGTGCCAGGAATATTTCACAGGTCAGCGTGAAGTTGATCCACTTTGCTGATGTACTTGGGAAATAAGAGAGAGTTTTTACATGTTGTTGGGGATTTTTTGTGTGGTTTTTTTTTCCTCTAGGCATTTATTTATTTGTATGACTTCACATGGCACAGTCTGGCCTTAAATGGAGCCCAGCGCCTGCTCTCCACCACTCTGGTTTCGCGCGCGGATGTCGGGCAGGGGCTGGCAGATTGCAAAATCACCCCCCGACGGGTGAGACAGGAGGAGCAAGCTTTGGCTCTCTCCTCACTGGCGAGGAGGATAAGAGGCCTTCCTCCACCTCGCACAACCCGAAAATCCTCCCTGAAGCAGGGTGGCTCCTCAGCGCTGCTCTGCCAGCCCCGGGGCCGGTTTGCATCGAGCCTTGGCTGCAGAATTTGGGTGGGGATCCCACCCGGGCAGCGCCGAGCCACAGCAGGACTAGGAGCTGTCTCAACATCCCTTAGGTCTGCTGGGGACCTGTGCTGGTCGCAACCCCCTGAAGAAGCTAAACAGGACCAACAACACCAGAGAGATGCTGCCCCGCTCACATGAGTGCAGACGTGCCCCGTTGTGGGGAGAGGAGAACAAGAGTGAATCTCCCAAGATGAAGCTCCAGCCTCAAGTCCCAACCTGCACACTTATTTACTTCAACCCTATAAAGAGTGTTGCCATCATACAGAGCAGCCCCGGTGGTCACAAAACCAGCAACTCAGTTTCTTTGCTACTGCCCTGGCCCTTCAGGGGCAGCTTCTCCTTCTCTAACCATCGTGGCAAATACCAAAGCAATGGAGGTTTTCTTTCATTACCCTATTTCTGTTTGTGAGCCCCTAGCTGGCAGGTATCCCTCTGTCCCCTGAGCACAGGGGCATCCCTGCTCCTGGCACAGAGTCTTCACTGCCCTCGTCTTGCAGAATCACTAAATCAGGATACATTGGTCCTTTGTAATACCTGAATATATCCAGGAACCAGAGTTTGATTTGTATGTAATGGGATGTGGAATTAAGGGGTCTTCTCCTGCATCATTCCCACATGCAGGAAGGCTGTGCTCCTGCTCCCCAGGTCCTTCAAACAGCTCCTTACTGCTTTGGTGAGGTTTAGCAGTAAGTGTTTGTCCTGGTCCATGCTCAGGGGGAGATGCTCGCATTCGGAAGCGCCAGCCACGCCATGATGCTCACTGGAGCGCGGTGGGCTTTGGCCAGATCCGCGTGCCCACACGAGGATTCAGAAGATGATTAAAAGTAGCCACTTATCTGCCTGTGCATCTCAGGGTAACCACAGCTTCTATAAACATTACTTAATTAACACCTCAAAATGCTCTGGGAAGCGGGTAATGAAGCATTATCTCGTTTTTCAGCTGTTTTAATTGAGAAGCGGTGAGGCGCAGGGAATAGCTCAAGGCCCCGTCGGGAGCGGAGGCGCGCGGCTGCTGCCTCCTCTCAGCCCAGCCAACACGCTCCCGCTGCCTCCCCCATCCCCAGAGCCCTTGGCTGGGGAAAGTGGGTGGTAAACACCCTGGGGAAGCTCTGGTAGATGGTGGTATCACGCTGCGCTTCACTTGTGGT